GACCAGGGTACGTTCCGGTATACCGGACCGTACCCAGGGTACGTTCCGGCAGTACCCTGGGGGACATAGACCCTATGAGCATTGCTTACAGCATGTTAACCCCCCCCCCCCGCGTAATATATATATCCGCGCGTAGGCTTATATATTAGCCTATGAGCGATACCGTGCGTATATTTTTGGTAATTACTTAAACTATTCGTGATTCAATAAACTCAAAATTCACGGGGATTATAGCTAAGACATGTGTTTATATGTATCTATCATGTATCCACTCACATCGCCTTCACCTGAGAATTTACCTGCAACACGCGCTGCGCTCATCCCGTTCGTCTCCCGCTAGATGTTCATGTCCACCTACAGTTCGTCAGTAGCATACTAACATCTAGAGCTAGCATGTCAGCGTAGACGTAATGCGTGGATGGTGAGCTGGTCTGTGTTTGTAATAACTGGACCGCATTAAAATAGGTGGCAAACTTGAGAACCTGTTTGGCTCCTCGGGCGGATAGACCATGTGAGATCAGCACAGCACACCTGTGTGTACGTCCGCCAGGAGCACAGCATGCCCGTGCGTGCGTGCGTGCACACTCTCACCGTGTGCTTGCCGCAACGACGGCGCACTTCACGGCCGCGCGTGTGTCCACACGCCGGCTGTTTAATGAGCCAACACACCTCAGTGAATAACGGGTAGGGCTGCGGCGATGCGGGACCATGATATTGCGACCTCGTTCTGCCGCTCCTTCGACTGTGTGTAGGACTCACTGTCATACGGTCAGAGTGTCAGCCTCCTATCGTGATAAAGCTTTATCCTCCGCTCGCCACCAATCATTGATCTGTAAATTGTATTGGATCAATAGTTATTGTGGCGGCCGTTAGAGGGCGGTAGAAGGTTAGTTTCCCAGTAACTGCTTATTACCTGTGAGATGAAGTCCTCTCTATTCGCCTCTTGATTGAAGTTATGGGGTTTTCGCACACTATGCGTTTCTAACACACGACTTAGTTTGATATATGTAATACGCCGTAAAGTATGTTACGGCTCCATGCATATTTACGTTGGAAATACACAACAAAATACATTTTTTAGTCGTAATTACGCGAAACTGATCACCAATCAACTACAATTGCATACTCCACCATTAATTTCAGAGTTTTATTGCCGTTGTGGGTTTTATATTATGCTGTTTAGAAATAACGTAATATGGCTGACAGTACGTGTCGGTATACCAGCCTATTTTTTATATAATCCTTCAAGATTGTGTGTGTGTGTGTGTGTGTGTGTGTGTGTGTGTGTGTGTGTGTGTGTGTGTGTGTGTGTGTGTGTGTGTGTGTGTGTGTGGGTGTGTGGTGTGTGCGTGCGTGCGTGTGCGTGTGCGTGTGCGTGTGTGTGTCTGTGGTTGTCTGCGTGTCTGCATGTATACATGTATGTGCGATGCGCTCGCATGCACGCACGCACGTACGCACGAAAAAATCAGCGCGAATCGCACTGACATTCTGAAATTAGTCGCAAATGAAAACGAATTCAATATTCTCGCAAGATTTTGCGCGATTTCCCTCTCACCCGAATGGCACCAACAAAATGCTGATATCAGCTGCCGCGGCGCTGTTAAGGGGTTTGTAAAAAATTACGGTTGACTTACAAATTAAGGTAAATGTAGGCGGTGCGAGTCCATCGCTGTAGTCCCATAGCTGTCGGCAATTTATCCACAATTCGGCCTCGCTTTCTTCTTGGCCACCTGTCCTTACAGCAACCTCTCCAGGATTAAAATGAAGTAGCGGATCTCGCTGCGGCAACGTATCGTGTCGTTAGCTAGCCCGCACTCCAGGGACGCCAACTCGGCTAGTATATATAGATAGCTATCTGTTGCGAGCCTGCAGGGTACCGATACGCTAGTCGTTGCAGGTATCAACCTTGTAGGCCGCGACCACTCTACGAAGCAATATAGAATGCCGACGATTGACCTGACGTGATAAATACGGGATTGTATTTCAGGTATCAATGTCAATGAGGACGACGTATCCGCATTATAGTGAACTGAAGATTTTGGATGGCCGCACAAGCGCGCACACAGGTACGTAGTACGTACACCCGCACGCACACGCACATGCATGCACACGTGGATACACACGTAAACACGCACGCACGCAAGCACACAAGTAGGGTAGATTAGGGGTAATGCGGCAATGGTGGGTAATATGGCCACCCACATTATTTCCACCTTAGACGCCTATATAATATACACTAGATAGGCTATTGGACTGTTGGGCCCGTGCTGAGAGCGGACTCGCAGTGCCTCCGAACGTGTGCAACGGCGAAGAAAGAAAACCTGCCACCATCTGACACTAAATTCTGGCGCTAATGCGGAATTTGACAATACATCAAAAAGTTTCAGCTATATTATAACTTGAATTATCCCGAGGTAGTATGAAAAACTAATGAAATATACTGTACTGTGTCTATAGAAAGCGCTTATCAAAATTTCACAATAAAAACATTTATATTATCACGCACACACGCACGCACGCACACACACACACACACACACACACACACACACACACACACACACACACACACACACACACACACACACACACACGCACACTCATATACGCACACGCACACGCACACGCACATGCACACGCACACACATGCGCACGCACGCACGCACGCACGCACGCACGCACACACACACACCCACACACACATACACACATATGATCTCTCTGTCTGTCGGTCTGTCCCTCTCTCTCAGCCTTTAAAGAAACAATAGAAAATTACCTACCTGTATTAAGACGCATCGTACTTCTGAAAAGATTTCGCGGGATAAGCATCGCGCCATCGGCGACCAACTAGTTGCCCCCCCCCCACACACACAATTTTATGCTCGTACGAGATTCACGCTAAGCGTGCGTGACCGCTATGAACAGAATCCATGGAAACGAGTTGCTACGATTTTACGTTTTTTTTGTACATTGTCTACAATTTTACGCGCATGTGAACGCGTATTGGTCGTCGCGTAACCTTAGAAACCAATTGGCGCGCGTCGCCAATGTTATTGTGTTGTTGGCATTCAGGCGATTGTGTTGCATTGTGCGCGCGCGCATGCGCGTGAGAGCAGGTAATAAAGCGCTACGTCATTCAGCTGCCATTAACATTATAGGTTTGTAGCTTGTTTTCATTTCATGAACAGCGCCTTTTCTGCACAAAGTGTTTATGAACAAGTGTGTTACAGCTGAAATGTAGTATTGGTGTATACTATTCTAAATTTGTTTCTAAATAAATAAGCTCGGGTGCAGAGATAACAGTAAAACAGGGAATTTTTGTTGCCATAGACAAGCCCCCCACACATTCACTCACGCTCACACACGCATACACGCTTCCCTGCATAGACGACATTTGGAGAGGCGGTGTGCAGCTAAGATGGAAAGCACGCGCAAAATCGATTCAAGAACGTCCTTTGATGGCATGAACACTGAATGAGTTCAAATATCCTGTCATCACGGCGACACGTGGCCTACTATCGATTGAATGCAACGCGAGCCATAGAACCGCTACACACGGCTGAATGGGTGATAATATTTGCCAGATAATTGCATGATTTAGAGCAGGGGCGCGTTTCACAAAGCTCCGTTCGCTATATTCTCCGCTATCTCCTCCGCTAACTCCCGAGTTGTCCGCTAAATAGCGGAGGACGCGTTTCACGAGAAGCAGAAGGTAGAGAAGGTAATCCGCGTAGACGCATACATCATGTCGTCACGGCGCTTCCTAGTTTACCGCCTACTACCTAGTCAACATCAATCATCCAAGTTCCACCACGAGCCCCTGCTACATTTTCCTACCGAATTCCCCAAGTGCGTGCGTGCGTGCATGTGCGCGCGCGTGTGTGGATATGCGTGCGTGCGTGCGTGCGTGCGTGCGTGCGGTGTCATCAGTTGCACCATGCGTGATAAACGCACGTATGCGGTTACATTGCAAGCAGTTTTCGTTCAAACTAGCTTGTCGTCACGATACTCGTTAGAACCTTCGTAATCTAATTTTAACGGCGTCTGACAGTCTATCGCATCAACTGCTTGAAGATTCAGATATTTAAAAAAAGCGAATTTACCTAACGCTATAATTTACATGATATATTGACTACGAAGAATTTTAGAGAAGTTGAGAAAGGGCGAGCCACCGCCATGAGCATAGATATGCCAGCCCCATCACCTATACGTAGACTCAGCCCTCACATAAACAGGTCTATATACGAACGAATCAGACGAAAGTCCTCCTTTTTAATAATAAAATAAGACAGTAAAATACCTGCCACAAGGACAATGAATGATAGCTTATGCATCGACGTTCAGACGTAGTTAAGGGCCGAGCAGACTTATCCTAAACTCCATGCGTGCCTTTCGATACCACGCATAGCAGCAGAAACCTCTAAGTAAAAGAAGCCGAACTAACCCCGAAACCAGAATCATTACTCACCTTCACGGCTCGACTCGCACTCAGGTGTAGCGATGCGTTTCATGGATTTTTTAGGGACGCCTAGCTCATCTAACGTGCAAGACTATAGTTTCAACTGTCACATATAGCTCTAGCTCTAGTACTATAGCCCGCGTACTGTTGTCGCAGGCCCGGTATGCGGGCTATAGTACTAGAGCTAATCTAGCTCCTGCAGTTGCACGCGATCATCATCCTATATCCGGTTCGTGAAATTTCTTTAACTAAAAATTACATATTGTTGATCTATCACATCCACTAAAACGTAGCCACTTTACACGAACTAACACATTTATATCGGGCGATAACTGTCATAAACGAATATTTAAAGCAGATAGGCGCGCAAACACTCCCGCACGTGCGCACACACAGACTTGCACGCACGCATATACGCACGCACAGACTTGCACGCACGCACGCACGCACGCACGCACAGACTTGCACGCACACACGCACAGACTTGCGTGCGCATGCGCGCGCTCACTTCTGTCAAAGCGATGACCATCGACTGATCTATCAGGTTTATTTGGCGCGACCCATTTAACCTCTTGAATGGCCTTCAGAATGCGTTACCATTGAGTCAGTCACCGGAAACTAACCTTACGCGTGCAATCGCTGCTCGCAGCGAATAGCGTGGCTTGCTATCTGCATGGGGAAGCGAGGCGGCTGTCCAGCTATGGTGTGGCACTCTATGAGGGATGGGCAGGTCTGTGATAAACTATGCATCCTAATCGTGGATAGAAAAACGCGGCGGTTAGACACGGACTTAAATACTATTATGTTTTAAATGCGTACGTTAAAGTCATTCGAATTGACCGATGGCGCCCTTATTTTATAGTTCATGAAAAATTATCAGAAAATATAATATGTAGATAAGATCAAGAGACAGTAGGCAACAGAGTTGCCAAGGCCCTACGTTCCACCAGGTGTCAAACAGTGAAAACAAACGAACCGAAGTGAGAGGAATGAGTACATGCATCCTCACAATAATAAAGAAGAAGCATTTATTAACAAAGTGCAAACATGATTAAAAGAGGAACAATCTACATACATTGAATGGTGGAATTCAGCGATATTCCGACTTCGACGGTATTAACCTTGCTAGGAGCCGTGCGCCACATAATACGACATTATGACATCTAACAATACGACAATATGACATCTCACAATACGTCAATATGACATCTCACAATACGTCAATATGACATCTCACAATACGTCAATATGACATCTCACAATACGACAATATGACATCTCACAATACGACAATATGACATCTCACAGATACGACAATATGGACATCTTCACATAACGTCAAATATGACATCTGCACAATACGACCAATATGACATCTCACAATAACGAGCAATATGACATCTAAGCAATACGACAATATGAACATGCTCACAATACGTCATTGATTTATGATCATATGACATCATTCGTATGATCTCACAATACGACAATACTGATTGTGTTATATACAATAATTTTTACGACATATGTTTTATACGTAAATATGGACATCTCACCAATACGAACAATAATGACATCTCACAATACGGACAATATGAACATCTCAGCAAATGTTAATAATGAAATCTCACAATACGACAATATGACATCTCACAATACGACAATATGACATCTCACAATACGACATATAACTATACAACATTTCATCATGCAGCAACTTACAATACGACATCTCACAATACGACATCTGCGATCACAAGCCGCTTCTACAATCACTTACAAACAAGCAGCATCCTCACAGATGAGCAGAAAGGCTGTAGAAGAGCGTCTAGAGGGTGCAAAGACCAACTTCTCATCAGTAACATGATTATGAGCATGACAAAAAAGTTCAAGAGGAACCTAGGAATGGCGTAGATTGATTAGAAGAAAGCATTTGACATTGTCCCACATTCCTGGATTCGCATCCATGAGAATCTATCGTGTGTCACCAACCATCATTCAGTTATTGGAAGCTACAGTGAAGAAATGGAAGACTGAAATGCTTCTCTTCTCTCAAGGAGGCTGCTTCAGGACATAAGAAATCAAGAAAGGAATCTTCCAGGGAGACTCGCTCTCTTCCCTGCTATTCTGCTTAGCACTAACACCGCTTACCAACATGCTGAATAAACAGGGTGTGGGACTTACAGTCGATAAACACAATACCATCAGCCACCTGCTCTACATGGATGATCTTAAACTCTTCACCAAGAACGAATATGAGCTGGAGCAAGCCTTGGTAACAGTCAAAGCATTCAGTGATGAGTTCGTCTTGGACAAGTGTGCAGCTGCAATTTTAAAAGATGGTAAACTAGTGACACGACAAAATATCCGGCTTCATGACAAGACAGTCCTCCAACGCCTGAGCCATGAAGATACCTACACATATCCGGTGTAGACGAAAGTGATGGTATTCAGCATGAAACGATAAAGGAGAACATTGCTAAGGAGTACTATCGCCGAGTTCGCCTAGTTCTCAACCGTGAGCCCTGCTCAAATTAGTTAAGAGCAATCAATAGCATGGTACTCCAGGTCCTCATGTACAGCTTCAGGGTGATCAACTGGTTGAGATCCAGATGGTGGCCGTGGTCTCATTGAACTGATGTTTTCATACAACACTGACATTGCGGGTCTAGGCAACTACATAGAGCTTAGGGAGGATAAATCCACAAAGCCTATCAAGATTCAAGTCAGGAAAATCAAAGCCAAGTACTTGTCTCATTATCCAACTAGCCAATTATTAAGGACGCAGGGTCTGAAGGCCAATAGGGAAGCAGAGAAGCTCGAGGTGGTGAGAAGAACAAACAAGCCCTTGCATGGAAAAATTGTACACGAGCATCGACAAGCCATTTGCTAAAAAAGATTGCAAGCGCTGTCTAGCTGAGTAGTTCCGTGCTCAAAGCAGAGACAGAAAGCCTGATCATTGCAGCCCAGGGCCAAGCACTCAACACCAGATACCATTAGCGCAACATCCTCAAGCAACAGGTCAACAGCAAGTGCAGAATGTGCAGCAAGGCAGAGGAGACCATCCGCAACATCATCGCCGGGTGCACAGTGCTGGCCCAGCCGAGTACATAAACCGCCACAACAAGGTAGCCAGCTATTTGCACTGGTCAATCTGCAGTGAACTTGGTGAGCAAGTAACTGAGAAGTGATACGAACATACTCCAAGACCAGTGAGATATGGCAGTGCAGACAGATCGTACGATACCTTCAACCCGCTCTGATATAGTGCTCCACAACAAGAAAGAAGAACAATGCCTGCTGATATGATATATGATATGATATAATATATGATTGATGTAGCCGTATCAGCTGATACTAACATCGTGGTGAGGGAAAGAAACAAACTCAACCAGAGACAACCAAGTACAAAGATCAGGAGATCGAGACTAGCTGCATGTGGAACACTATGCATGATGCGAGTTGTACCAGTGGTGGTCGGAGCCCATGGCTCTATAAATAATGGTCTTGAGAAGAACCTCAAAGATATCCCTGTCCATCACACTTACCCAAGAAGTGCAGAAAACTGCGCTACTGGGAACAGCACACATACTGCGTAAAACTCTAGATCGAATCCCTATGTCCCAGACTGGAACACAGCCAATCCAAAAGCCACCGGCTAATGCCGTGATCCACTTTGGAACTAATAATAATAAATAAAATAATAATAGTATTAAAGTAATCATTATAATAAACCTGAAAATGTGTTGCGCGTGTGCAATCAGCTAGTTCGAAAGACCGACTGCCGATTCCGGTTCATTCTCATAGAAACTTACAAAAACATAGCAAATGCAAAGAACTATAATAACGGGGCAACTAGATCAGTTCCACATTGTGGTGCACCATGATTTAAACTGCGATTCGGTTCCACACAAAAACGCGTAAAGTTTTGTGCTACGAATGGAAACTGCTGCTATTACGATAATGTATAGCTACTGTACCCAGAAACAAAAACACGAAAATTGTCCAACCCACAATATCGTTAAAAGCAGCAATAATTCAATAGGGAGTTCGTGCCGCAGCTAAGCCGTACTAAGCAGGGGAAACATTATATCCAATGTAGGATTTCGCATATCACATTAAGGTCTTCTATTGAATCCTACTGCCTGCGCGGATGATTTGCAATTACGGAAAGCACAACACGTTTGTGTGTGACACTTTTGTCGGAACAAGAGAGAGGGAGAGAGAGAGAGAGAGAGAGAGAGAGAGAGAGAGAGAGAGAGAGAGAGAGAGAGAGAGAGAG